GCTCCTTACCCTCCTCAGACCCCACAGAAAGTGGGGCTTTGAAAGCGGCCCATGAACCAAACCCTACCCCCCCACCCCCAACCCTTCCTCTGATAAGAAAAGCACAGTTATCTTTGTATGTGTGTAGCTTTTATAGACATTTACTTCTCTGGTTTTGTTTGATCCTTATGGCAGCCTTGTCAGGTGTTATCATCCCTGTGACACTCGGGGTGGGGGGAAGTGACTCATCCAAGGTCACACAGCAGGCATGTGGCAGAGCCAGAAGTGCAACCCTGTCTGCCCAACTCTATAACCTGTGTCAGCTGGAAGTTTTCCAGTGGTCATTAGAGAAATCAAACTGGCCTACACAGAGAAGGAATTTGTTGGATTTTATAACTGAAAAACCCAGGGGGTAGGACTGGTTTCAGGTGTGGCTGAATCCAGCAGCTCAAATGGGCTCATCAGGAACTATCTCCATCTGGCTCTCAGCTCTCTGCTCCTGTGTTGATGACTTTGCTCTCAGGTGCGTGTGGTATAGCTCTGACCTACTGATCTCAGAGAGAGTGTGTGTTTTCTGATAATTAGAGCAAAAGTCTCAGAGCAGTTTTTCCATGGCCAGGCTGATGGAATGTCCTGATTGGCCTGGCTTAGATCACATGCACATTCCCTGGAGTTGTGAAGGGGTGGAGTCAGCCATACCTAAACCCCACAGAGAGTAGGGGGTTGAGGTTCCCCCTCAGGAAAATGGGGTGCTGTTAGCAACTGGGAGTAGCCTGGATTCTGGACAGGCAAACCAAGAGAAGCCCACCCTCCCCCACACCCTGGACTCTGTCTGGCTCCTCCAACACCTCCATTCCTGGCCGTAGTACTCCCACTGGCTTCTCTGCCACAGGGGCCTCTCCACTTCCTGGTGGCTGCTGGATGTTTGGCCTGCAACCCAGCCTTGCCCCTCCTGCTGCTGCTTGGTACTTTATCCTGGGCTGGAGCTGATGTTGGGCTGCAAGGACAGGCATTTGCTCTGCTAAGCTTGACCTTATAACAGAGCGGGGAGGAGAGGACTGTGGAAACTCTCTCCTTCCTCCAGGTTATTGATGTTCGCAACTCAAAGTCACTCACAAGTTATTATCTGATGGCAGCAGAAATCAGGCAGATGGCACGTACCTCCTTCCAGCTGTTCACTCCTCATGCTCAGCAGGGTGGCTTGGTCCTCACAGGGGTGTAGGATGGTGCAGTTCCAGACACCATGCCATCCACAACCACGTCAGGCACAGACTGCCCACGTGACATCACATGCCCTTGCCTGAACCAGCTGCTGGTTGGGAGGAGAGTGGGCTGCCCTTCCTGACTTTGACCAGGGCCACTCCGCAGGGCACTGTAGGCTCTAGGGGAGGACGATTATTCATTTGGTGGGCTGTCCCACACACTGGAGGTCATTTGGCAGCCCTGGACCCTGTACACAAAAATTCCATAGCACCCCACCCCCCAGCAGCCACTGTGTCAAACTGGAGCGCTGCTCCATGCCAGCCCCCAAAACCACTGGCTTATAAGTTAATTGAGGTTCAACTTCTGGTGAACACAGGGTCTTATGGAGGGATCCTGCACGAAATAGCAGTTTCTCAGCAAGAAACAAGGGGCGGTGTCTGGTGGGGACGCCATCAACAGTGTTGGCCTCAGTTGCAAAGTATCCAGTGGCTCAGGCCAGAAAGTGCAGCGTCAGTTTCCTGAGAGTGTTCCTCACTCTTCTCAGTCCTTGCATTTGATCTGTCAGTGGGTCCTGTTGGCCTGTCCCCCCAAAGAGATCCCAAATCTCTCTACTCCACCTGCACTGCTACCACTGTCCTCTTGCTTGGACTGTGGCGGTAGCTCCTCACGGTGTCCGTCTCCATTCTAACTTGCTTCAGTCGTTTTCCGTGGCGCCAGAGCAATCCTGTTCACGTGGAAACTGGACCCCTCAGCTTGCAACACTCTTGTCATCGCACTTAGAGGGAAGCCACACTGCGCGTCTGCACATGACCCCATCTGACCTGGCCCTGCCAACCTTTCTGATACCATCTCTAGCCACCCTGGCTGGCTTTCTGCACTTTGGACAGGCCAAGCCTCTTTCTTCCTCTGGGCTTTTGCCATTCTCTCTCGAATGCTTTTTATTCAGACTTTTCTAAGGCTGGCTCCTCAATTATTTAGATCTCAGCTCAGTACTCCTTTATATTCATTGCAATTCAGGTCTAGCTGTTGAAATAATATATTCACAAGATATTGGCTATCTTGTTAGCCAAGCTCACAAGATAGAAGACTATTTCTGTCTTGCATGACAGTCTGCAAGCTGTCTAGGACGTGCATGAAGGCCCCGTTGTGTTGGGGACCCAGACACATTTCGACTGCTCTGTTGTCCTCAGTACTTGGTTTCGCTCTTGTGGTCTAGATGGCCACTCTTCCTCCCACCATCACATCCATATTGCAGCTAATGGGAGGGGGAGGGCATGGCCCAAACCTGGCAAACCTCACTCTGCTCATGTCTAGTTGGATGAAGCTGGGCCACGTGGCCACACCCAGTTACAAGGGAAGCTGGGGAAGTAGCTGTTTTTCTGGGAAGCCGTGCATAAGCCAAAATCTGTGGGTTCTGTACCAAGGAACGGGTGGATGTTGGGGGACCCAGCAGCCTCTGCTGTGTTTGCCATCATTCTGTTCCTCCCCTCTTGGCACTTATCTCTAGGAGTTTGCTTTTTAAATATGGTTTCTGTTCTTGCAGTCTACCTCCCTCCCTCCCTGAAGGCCCCGCGAGGCCAGGACCTTGCCTGCCCTGCTGCCTCCTGTGTCTGAGCACCTACACCTATGCCTGTCCACAGCAGGTACTTGGTGAGGTCTGCGAGCGAGGGAAAGAATGCAGGAATGCAGGGTGGGCTTCTTTACCCACCTCTCCCGTTGGCAGGGAATGGGGAAGGAGTCGACTTCTTTCCTTGGACCTACTGTGTGCCAGGCATACATTGTCCTCTTTAACACTCCTTGTCACACTGCAGGTGCTGTCATGCCCACATTTTACACACTGGAACTTGATCCCAGAGCCAGCGAGTGGCCTGTTAGAGAGGAGGGTGGAGGCTCCTGAGCCCCGGGGCTTGGCCATCCCCTGCAGGGTCTTCTCTCCCTTTCAGCCAGAGGTGGCCCTAGCAGTCTTGGCCTGGACAAGTAGTGAGGACGTCCCTTAGTCCTCCAGCCCTCGTCTTGGCTCTGCTGTCGCCCAGGGGTGGTGTGGGTGACAGCATAACAGGGGCTCCTGTCGCACTGCTGCGATCCTCCCTGCTGCGCGGGCACTCAGCTCCCTGGAATGCTCTTTGCTGAGGGGAGGTCTGTGCCCCCACACATCGTCAGGACACGTCTTTTTTACTTTCTAGAGTTTGCAAACCACAGGTGTGCGGCTCAACAAACTGACACACAGTGAACACACCTCTGTGCCACCACCCAGGAAGGGTATACGTCCCCCAATTACTACGCCCTGTCTCCACCAAGGCGTCCCTTGTCCACATTTCTACGTGGATCACAGGCGTGGCGGCTCTTGTGGCTGGTGCTGCCCAGCATCACACTTGTGAGATACACTCACTGTGCCTGGAGCAGGAGTAGTTCTTTTTATTGCTGCGGAGTGTTCCTTGGCATGAACCCGCCATCGTGTATGTGTATGCACTGCTGGAGGTTCCTGGTGGTTAGGAACATACATGTATGTGCATCTTTGCCGGAGGTGGAGATGCCAGGTCATCAGGCCCAGTCTGTTCAAGTCATCCTAAATGCTGGCACACCTGGTTTGCCCTGCCCTGGGCTCTCCTGAACTCCCTGTAGAAGTCCTGCTGCTGTCTCCTAACAGTCCTCTGACCCGAGAATCCTCTGACCCAGGAGTCCGCATCTCAGTTTTCCAACCACTCCATCATTCCCCCCACCTTAGGGTAGCTCGCAGGACCCCAGACCAGCAGCTCCTCTGTCGTCCAGGCTGGCCTGGGCCTGTCCTCAACCATCACATGGGCGCTGGCAGTGGGCCCATTCCACACTGGCTCCACCCCAGCAGCCCGAAATTTGCAGACACGGCTTCCTCTGACCCTTCCACCGTGCCACCTCTTTCCCCATCCCCGTCTCCATTCGGAGACCTCCTGTGTGTCTCCCAGGCACAGCTCCAGATCCCCTCCGTTTGTGTCTGCCTTTCCAGGGCAGCAGCAGAGGGAGACAAGGGCTGGAGGTTATATGATGCCCAGCTTTGGCACTTAGCAGCCGTGTGATCTCACACAAGTGAGGTGGCCTCTGAGTTGGTTCTGCACAGTGTGGTGGCTCAGAACTACAGCTGACCATTACTGAGAGGTTCCCACGTGTGGGCCCTGTCTTTTGGCACTTAGCAGCCGTGTGATCTCACACAAGTGAGGTGGCCTCTGAGTTGGTTCTGCACGGTGTGGTGGCTCAGAACTACAGCTGACCATTACTGAGAGGTTCCCACGTGTGGGCCCTGTCCGAGGCACTTGACATGACCACAACCTCACAAGAAGGACATTATTGGTATTTCCATCCTTTGGGGAAACTGAGGCAGAGAGAGGACAAGGAAGCAAGGTGCAGGATTGGGGTCTGAACCCAGAGCCCATGCTCTTGTCCGCTCTGCTCATTGCCTCGCTATCCAGGGCCCCTCAGGAGTGGAAGGGCTCGACCGGGTGGTGCTGAGCACTCACAGCATGTGCTGGCACACAGGTGTTCAATTAATGGCGTGGCTGCTTTTACTGTTTGGGAGTCACAAGATAGAGCCTGAGACAAAGATCTGGACCACTGCCCGGGAGGTGGGTCGTGACCTGTGCAGGAGCCCCACCCCTCCTCTCCCACCCAGCAGGCACAGAGCTGAGCTCCTGGCAGTGGGGAGTGGCCAGTGGGCACACTTGGTGGCACCCCTCTGATTTTCCCCTGGGAGCCCAAGACCTAGGGACAGGAGGGCAGTGGCCCAGGTCACATAGCCCCTGAACTGCTAACCATGGTGGCTGTCACTCCCCAGGGCTGCTGGTGGGATGGATGCCCTGGAGGATGCGATTTGGGCCAACAGCACGGCGGTGCCCCCACCCCTGGCGCCAAATGTCAGCGTGCCTCATCGCTGCCTGCTGCTGCTCTAGTCCTGGATCACAGGCCTGTCCCTGAAGCCAGTGGTAGGAGGCTCATCCTCACCTGGGACCACATGAGGAAGGAGCGAGGAGACAGAGGAAAGATGCTGTTGCTGGAAGGGGACGGATACCAGCAGACAAAGGCCATAGGTGCTCAGCATAGCCACTTTTGCCAAATCTCTGGGCTGGTAGCTTACCCCAGGGCCTCTGCAGTCTGTTCACTGTGGCCTCCTTCTGCACAGTCCCCCACATCTTGGAATTAAAACCATTAACATAATAATACTAACAGCAGATGTGTACGTAGTCCTTCCTGGGTTCTGGGCACACTTCTGTTACATCTGTTAGCCCATTCGACCCTCCCGGCAATCAAATGCATAGGTGCTGTTTTTACCTCCATTTTATAGATGAGGAAACTGAGGCACAGAGGTGCAGTTACTTGCCTGAGGTCACAGAACCAAGAGGCAGCAGAGCTGGCATCTGAACCCACCATGCTCGCCCCTGCTAACCATTTCAAGGCTGTTGGTGCTAGCCTGGAAACTAGGGCCTGTGAGGGGAAGGCCAGCCCTGACATCCCCAGCAGCGGAGGGTCCCCGTGCCTGTGAGCCCTACCTCTCCGCATCCCACCTCCCACTCATCACTTCCTTGCTTCGTTGTTGAGGAATCAAAGGCTCCTGCTGGTGTGGGGGTGGGTGTGTGTTCAAGAGGTTCTGGTTCCCTGAGCCCACCACACCTCTCCCTCCCTTGCCCACCAGGTATTTGTGGTGGCCCTGGTGGGCATCGCCCGGGCCGTGGTATCCATGACGGTCAGCACCTCGAATGCCGCCACTGTTGCTGACAAGGTGGGGCTGGGCCCGCGGGTCGGGGGCTGCTGAGGGAGACCTGGCCTGGGGTGGTGCTGGGCCCACAGCTGATGCTCTGCCCACTCTGTCCAGATCCTGTGGGAGATCACCCGGTTCTTCCTGTTGGCCATCGAGCTGAGTGTGGTCATCCTGGGCCTTGCCTTTGGTGCGTGTGCTGCTGGGTCTCTCGGGCTTGGCCCGACACTCCCCTGCTCCTTCCTGGCTGGGGGCTGACCCTGATACCTTCGTCTGGGCTGGCTCCTGCCAAATGACCAGCATGTTTCTTCCAGGTCACCTGGAGAGCAAGTCAAGCATCAAACGGGTGCTGGCCATCACCACGGTGCTGTCCCTAGCCTACTCTGTCACGCAAGTAAGAGGGTGGGTGGGGGCAGGAGGTGTGGGGACAGGGCAGGCTGGGTGTCCAGTGCCTCCTGGTCCTGGCTCAGGTTTGGAATGTTTAGCAGTTGGTGTGTTCTCAAGCTTTAAATGCACCTAGAAGTCACCTGGGTGCTTGCTACCAAGGCAGGTTTTGGGCCCTCCCCTAGAAATTCCAGTTTGTAGGTCGGAATGGGGGAGTGGGGAGACACACAGAGCCTGCCGTTTTAACACGTGGTTGAGGTATGGGAAATGCAGGTCTGCAGGCCACCTGAGAAACATGCATCTAGAGGCCCCTTTCTTAGATTAGGGGCAGGGCTGTACCATACCCATCTCTCTCCCCAGCCCCACGTGACTCTGCCCAAGGCTGGGCTGTTCTGGGTGCTGGTTAGGTGGGCACACCATGGCCAGGGAGCAGGGAGGGGCAGGTATCTCTGAGGGATGGGCCAAGAAGTTGGGCTTGATGTGACGGAGATCTTTGGGGGCTTTGCATCAGGAGGAGGCCCTGGGGAGGGGGCTTTCCAAACGGTAGGAGCCTGTAAGAGACCCTTTCTTTTCCTGCCTGCTTGCCCCTGCAGGGGACCCTGGAGATCCTGTACCCTGATGCCCATCTCTCAGCTGATGACTTCAACATCTACGGGCACGGGGGCCGCCAGTTCTGGCTGGTCAGCTCCTGCTTCTTCTTCCTGGTGAGGTGCAGGCTGGGGATGGCAGGGGGAGCCTCAGGGCCAGACAGGGGACCGATGCCTAGGTTCTGGGCTCAGCGTCTGGGCCTGGTGCCCCAGCATCCTTCTCAGCCCTCCTGTGTCTCCGCAGGTTTACTCTCTGGTGGTCATCCTCCCCAAGACCCCGCTGAAGGAGCGCATCTCCCTGCCTTGTGAGCAGCTAGCAGAAGGCCCTGGGATAGGGCTGGGGACACAGCGGGGGTCTCTTGTGCCACTCTGGCCTGGAGCTGGAACCGTGGGTAGAAGGGAGGCCTCCTGCGGTGCCTCAGAGGGGTCCCAGATGGAGGGTGGGGGAGGGAGAGCCTGGCCTGGCAAGGACAGGACCTCACCGCCCTGCCCTACCAGCGCGGAGGAGCTTCTACGTGTATGCGGGTATCCTGGCACTGCTCAACCTGCTGCAGGGGCTGGGCAGCGCGCTGCTGTGCGCCGACATCATCGAGGGCCTCTGGTACGTGGGGGGCGGGGCCCGGGGCGGGGGCCGGGTCCTGGAGGCGCCCTGACCCGCTCTCCCCACTGCAGCTGCGTGGACGCCACCACTTTCCTCTACTTCAGCTTCTTCGCGCCGCTCATCTATGTGGCCTTCCTCCGGGGCTTTTTCGGGTGAGTCTGGCCTCCGGGCCCCCTGCCGCAGGTTCAAGGCCGAGGGTGCCCCCACGCAGTAGCGGACGGAACTGCGCCTTCAGTTTCCTGCGCTTGCTCCAGCCGAGCGCTGTGCCTCCGGCACGGGCAGGCGGTGCAGGCGGGTCCGCTATAGGTTGCGTCGGTGCGGGTGGGGGGTGATGCAGGAGGGGCCGGTGCAGGCCAGGGCGTTGCGGGCGGGCCCAGCACGGAGCTGGCCGAGGCTGGAGTGCGTATGTGCACGCGCGCACACAGGCAGATGTGCCCACACTGGGGCGGTGCACACAGGCACACACACCTTCCCCACAGGAGAGCGCGGCTGTGCATGTCACTGCAGTGCTCCTTTTCGTTTAGTAGCGTGGTGGCTCGTTGGGCTGTAGCCACCAGACACAATGGGAACAAAGTAGACAGAGTCCCTTCCTGCCCTCACAGAGCTGGTACTCTACCCGGGGAGGACTGGGGAGAGGAGCAGGGCTGGGGTGGGAAACTCGGCGTGTATCTGAGTGCGCTGTAGCGCCCGTTGCCCGTGGAGAAGTGTCAGAGGGTGGGCTGCTAGAGACAGGTGGCCTTGGGGCTCTGACACCAGGTCTCTGATGTGGCAGAAGTGCAGGCGTCTTGCCCCCTCTCCCTTCCCCACCCACTGGGTCTGAGGGTAGGGTGTGGAAAGAGCTGGGAGAGGGCAGTAGAGTGGCGGAAAGGTCTGGATCGGATCCCAGCCCAGCTGTTATCTGCACACGCGATTTCTCTCCCGAGTCTTCTTTTCTTCTTTTTGTAAATTTCTAGCTGTGTCTCCACCTCAGAGAGTTAGCCTAAGGGTTGAGGAACCAGGTAAGGGTGGAGTGGGTAGTAATGTGAGCTGCAGGGTCAGGGGAGTAGGGGTGGAGTTCACACCAGTGTTTACTAAGCACTTTGGGCCAGGCCCTGGCGAGGGGGGCTCATGATTTATGTACGTTCATCCTTGGCAAGGCTGGTGCACCCATTTCATGGAAAAGCAGGCACAGAGCAGCCACTTACCCAGGCTCACATGCCAGGAGGAGGAGGGCCGGGTTTCAAAACAAGTCTTGCTGGACTCCAGAGCAGGCGATGGGGCCCTGTCGGGTGGGCACTGTGTGGCAGTCAGAGCCTTTCCTTCCATATCTGGTGGCCTCATTGCCCATGGGGAAGGTTTTTCCCGGGTCACACGCAAGGCTGCCCTGCCTCTTTCTTACCCACAGCTCAGAGCCCAAGATCCTCTTCTCCTACAAATGCCAAGTGGATGAGACCGAGGAGCCAGATATGCGCCTGCCCCAGCCCTATGCTGTGGCCCGACGGGAGGGCCAGGAGGCAGCGGGGGCTGCAGGGGCCTCAGCTGCCTGCTACTCGAGCACACAGTTCGATTTGGCTGGTGGGGTTGCCTACCTGGACGACATCGCCTCCATGCCCTGCCATGCCGGCAGTATCAACAGCACGGATAGTGAACGCTGGAAGGCCATCAATGCCTGAGAGTGGCCCCTGTCCTGCTGGGCCTGTGGAGGACAGATCAGAGAGGCTAGGGGCCCAGAGTCCCAGGCGGAGGAGGCCGAGGTTGCAGGACCTTTTGCAGGCTGACGCCTGTGCAGGCCCTATCTGCACTCTGAGTCTGGAGGCCCCTTCCTGCCCTCGGGGCCCTTAGTTACCACAGACACTGCTGTTCTAGCTGGGGACCCTCCTCCCCCTTCCACCCACCCTCACCCTCTCAGCAATGCTGCCCAGTCTTTGACATCCCAGGGCTACCTGGCTGAGGGAACTCCTTTCTCCAAAGCCTTGGCACCCAGGACTGGCATGGCCCTCCTCCCCTTTGTGCCATCCCCACAGCACTTTGACCTGCTTAAAGCCCACCATGGTGGATGGGCTGAAGTGTGTATATTTTCTTGATCTACTTTTTAATAAAAAAGGAAATCGGAGCAGAAGGTGTCGATGTGGAGGTATTGCAGGGATGATGGGCTGGTTCCTTTCAGGAGTTCGAGGGCTGGGTGAGGGGCTGTGGGGTTCAGGTGGCCTCTGCTCATCCAAGGGTCATTCGCCATTGCTGGGCCCTGGGCTGGCTGCTGGGGTGCAGAAAGCAGATCCCGGCCATCCGTGCCCTTGGGGCTCATTGTGGAGGAGGAGACAGATATGGGAAGAGAGCTGTGGTCTCTGAGCTGTAGTCTCCCCACTGGGTTAGGGAGCGTGGGGTTTAGAGTGAGCCCTGGGGTCCCATCCCTCCTCTGCTCCTTGTGCTCTGTCATCTTGGTCCAGCCGCTTTCTCTTCCTCAGCTCCAGCTTTGCTGTCTGTGAATGGGATAAGAAGGCCTGTCTCAAAGGGATTTCTGTGAGGATTAGAAGATCGCTGGCGTGAATGGCGGGTATATGGCACTGGAATGATGATGATAACTCTTACTGTTTTTAGTGTCCAGAATAGTGCTTGGCACATAGTAGGCACTGGGAAAGTAGGATGCTGGGGAGTGGCATTTATAGCAAGAATGGGTGTGGTAAGCGGAAGGTGGGAACAGATAAGAAGCAGCCCCGGGTCTTAAGACGTGAGTGGAGGGAGGCCCCAGCCGTCTGCACTGCCGCTGCTGTACCTGAGTTTGGCTTGATCTTTCTGGCAGCTGGAGTGAAAACGGAGCTGCTGCCAGTTATGTAGCTCAGAGAGGAGGGCCGCACGCTTCAGAGCCCAGAGCTGAGGGTCAGGCTGGTGCCCCATCACTGCTGGCTCTCTTTCTCAGAGGGCGCCGTGAGCTCGAACCCCAACACAGCTTGTGACTGTGGGGCCAATGTGTCAGGCCCCCTAAGACCCAGGGCCCAGAGGGCTGTCAGCAGGCGTGGACACAGGTGGGTGCCAGGACTCGGCCAGTGAGCTGGACTTCCTGGTGGTGAAGGGGACCGACCACATGGCTGCCAAGGGGTCCTAGAGGGCTTTCCCCAAGCGGTGCCATTTGCGGGGGCCTTGCAGCTCCCGCAGGAGAGGAGCTCACAGGGCAAGTGCTGGGGGCCAGGGGAGGAAGACTTGGCCATCAGATCCAGAGCTGGCAGTCTCTGAGGTGTGTACAGTCTGAGATGTCGCAGCGCCAGCCCAGGTGTGCTCGTCATGGCTACTGAGCAAGCAGTTGGGCAGTAGGGAGGCATCAAGAGAAGAGAAGAGGCTAGAAGCTTCTTTTCTGTTCTATGGTTAAGTGTGTTTTTTTAAAAAAATAAGTAATATGTACATGACAAAACAGAAAAAAGGCTGTGCAGTGCAAGTGGGTATTCAGCGTGGAAGGTGACTCTCCCTGTCTGACACTTCGTTGCCCGTCCCCCTTTCCGGAGCACCGCAGGGACAGAGTCTTCATATCTCCCAGAGCACCCTGCCTGTGCTTGTGCACATGGCTGCGTGCACTGCCCTGTTCCTGTGAGCTAGTGTTCTGTAGCTGGTCTTCTTCCCTCAACAGTGGATCTCAGAGATTATTCCAGGTCAGGTGGGATTCCAGGTCAGCAGGTCAGGCTTCACTCGCAGCTGCACGTATGTGGACATATGGCATTTGATAAAACAGTCTGCCCTGGATGGACTTGTGTTTCTGATAGATTTGGTATCAGTAAATAATGCAACATCAACGATCCTTATGAATATGCTTTTGGTGACTCACGCAAGTGGAGTTGCTGGAGCACATGGTCTTAATCAGTTTTAATCAGTCTTAGTCTTCTGCGGAGACTAGTAGTTGCCACCCCATGTATGTTCTCCTTTTCTTTCACTGTAATGGAATCCCTGATTTTTAGCTGGGTACACAGTTGCCTGGAATAAAGACTACATTTTTCTGCCTGCCTTGCCTGTGGGTATAGCCAGGTGACTAAGCTCTGGCCAGTGGGGTGTGTGTGTATGACTTCCTTAAAGAGACACGGTGGGCTCTCTCTTCTGCTGGCTGGGATGTACTTGTGATGGCTGGAGCTACAGCAGCCAGCTTGAACCCACAGGGTGGTCTTGGGAATGGAAGCCTCTCATGGCAGTACAAGAGGGAAGGTACCCCTGTCCCCGACACTGTGGTGCATCTGTGACAGTCCTGGATGTCTTACCTTCAGCGGAGTTTTGGAATGTGAGAGAGAGATTGAATGGCTATTCTGTTTAAGCTGCTTTGGATTTTTCTCTTATTCATAGTTGAACTCAAACTGAACAAACACATCCATTCAAAGATGCTGTACTGGTTTTAACTCCTATCAGCTTGTCCTCATTGAGGCTGTGCTGCTCATGTTTTCAGTCTCCCTGAAGAGCCTGCGCATGTCTGCCCACTTGGGTCACACCCCATGTGCTGTGTCTGAGTGGAGCAGACATGATGCAGAGGAGTGCTCGGGGTGTGGGGACTGCTGGGGGCCTTAACATGGGATGGAGTTCACCATGTGTCCTTCCCGCTGCTGCTGCTTGTGGGCTGTGCACCTTGGGCAAGTCACTTCTTCTCCTTGACTTTCAGTGTCCTCACTGGTGACACAGGGTAGCAGAAGACTGTTTGCCACCCGATGTCCTTTCCCCCCTCCGTAACTGCACCCTGATGTTTTGTGGGCCAGTGAAGCATCCACCTAAAAGAAGATATTTCCTAGACTCCTTTGCAGTCACTCGTGTAACTGAGTTTTGATCAACGGGATGTTAGCAGAAGGAAGAGAGACTTTCTTTGGCAGAGGCTTCCTAAAAAGAGCAGGAGACTCAGCTAGGAGACGTGCCCTTCTGTCCTGCCTTTGTTTTTCTGCTTTCTGGAAGGCAGATATGATGGCAAACTCTCCAGCACCCGTCTTGGACTCTGAGGCAACTTTGGGAAGCTGTTCACCCAGGAGAGTGAAGCAGAGACAAGCCCTGTCCCTGGTGAAGATGGTGCTGCCACCAGTCTACTTTCCCATGGGAGAAAGGAGCTGTCCTGTTGACATCCAGCCCAGTCCTAACTGAAGCATGTAGTGACCATAATCTGCCCCTCCAGGGGTCATGTGAGAAAGACTGACATTTTGAGATAGCAATTTGTGTCCTTTCCTTTCAGCACTTGGCCCTTCTCTCCTCTCTCGCTGGTGCGAGTCTGGTCCTGGCTTCCCTGCCCCAGGAGACAGTAGCTGGTGGAGGCAGCAGTAGTCTCGGGAACAACTTCCCGACTCGTTTCCAAATGCCTTGGGTGACAGAGGGCAGAAGGGAGTTCCCCCGGGAGTCAGGTCTGCATGTCCCTGACTCCCAAGCACAGATGAACCCAGGCTCCAGAAAACATGTCGCCCCTGTGAATTTAGTGACCCTGGGCACAGGGTTCTCAGCTGCTGCAAAGGGCTTCCCAGACCAAGCATGGCACCGAAGCAGTGGAGCTCTGCGATGTTAAGTCCATGTGGCCAGGAGCACGGGGGCCTTAGTGACAACAGGTGTGAACACATGATCCCTGATGCCTGAGTTTGCAGGGCTGCCATGACAGGGTCCCACAGGATGAGGGCTGCAACAGCAGGAGTCTTTTCTCACAGCTCTGGAGGCTGGAAGTCTGAGATCCAGGTGTCAGCAGGGCTGGTTCCTCCCAGGTCCTCCTTCCTTGGTGTGCAGACAGCTGCCCTCCTGTTGTCTTTCTACATGGGCGTCCCTCTCACACCCCTCGTGTCTCTGTGTCCAAATGCCTTTTCTTATGTGGGCACCAGTCAGATTGAGCTAGGCCCAAACTGACAGCTTCATCTAACTCAATCACCTCTTGAAAGACCCTGTCTCAAAATACAGTCCCATTCTGAGATGCTGGGGACAAGGGCTTCAACATACGAATTTTGGGGGGACACAATTCAGTTGCAACAAATGGGATTAGAGCCTCTCTCTCCCTGACATCCTGGCATTGTGCAAGATCCTGGGACTTTGACCCGAACCATGGAACAGGCAGAAAAACCCTGAGAATGACCGAGGTTAAATCTTCCAGCCACTCAGCAGAATAGGGCCAAGACAAATTCAGCAGCATTCCAGAAAATCTCTGGTAGCTTTGTGGACTGGGGTTCCCAGAACCTGTGTGGGGTGTGGTCCCTTGAGGACTGCCCACTGGCCTGCTTTGCCCCTTCTGGACATGTGGAGGCCTATGGCACTGCCCTGCCCCCTTTGAAGAGGGCCAGCCGTGTGGCCTACTCGGCTAGTGTAACGTGAGTGGAAGTGTCCTGGGTCACTTTCAGGTCGACACATTTGTTTCTGGTACAGAAGCCTGTCGTGCCTCAGTAGTGGTGGAAGCCCGTGTGAAGACAGAGCCCCTGGGTGCCCAGGTCCCCGAGGCGCCCCAGGGAAGAGTCCCTCTGCTGAGTAGCACTGCCCTGCTCCCAGAGCAAGAAGTGAAGCCTGCCCCTCGTGCCTCCAAGACCGGGGTCATTTGTCACTCAGCACCGCCGGCATGCCCTGCCTGATGTAGGGCTGAGTGAGGTGCACACTTGCTACTCCATGGTAGGTACTCAGTTAACTTGATTCCCCACAACTAGGTAGAGCAAGGCCCCGGCTGGGGACAATTAACAGCTCTCGGCTCACAGGGCTACCCTCACTCATCCCCTGTGTCTCCTGGGCTTCATTTTCAGAGCTTGTAGATCTTCCTGTCAGCATCACACAAAGGACATTCCTCC